CTCCTGGCCTCTCTTCCCCTCCCAGGTCCATCCTTCCTGCCATGCAGAATTGCGCTTTCTCTCGTGGTTCTGCAAAGACATCCTGTCCCCTGATGAGGACTTCCAGGTCACCTGGTACTTGTCCTGGAGCCCCTGCCCTGACTGTGCAGAGCAGGTGGCCGACTTCCTGGCCACGCACCGGAACGTGAGCCTGACCATCCTCACCGCCCGACTCTACTACTTTCAGAACCCCGAAGTCCGGCAGGGACTTCGCAGACTGTGTGAGGTAGGGGCCCAGATGGCGATCATGTCCCTCCAAGGTGAGCATTGCGGGGAGGTTAGGACTGGGGGAGGAAGGGGATGAGGAGTGGCAACTCTAGGATGGTGACAGAGCGGGCGGGGCCCAGGGGAGCCCGCCCAGGACTCGACCCTCCTGGTTCCAGCAGAAATGACTGCTGTCCCCCTCCTCTGTCTCAGATTATGAAACCTGCTGGGAAGACTTCGTGTGGAACAAGGAATGGAACTTCAGGCCTTGGGAGGATGTGGATGACAATTACCAGCTCCTGGCCAGCAGGCTGGAGGAGATCCTTGGCTGAGGACCACCCCATTCCCCCTCACCTCAATCCTCACACTTTTTTTTTTCTTTCTTTCTTTTTTTTTTTTTTTTTTTTTGTTTTTTTTTTTTTTTTTTTGTTTTTTTTTTTTTTTTTTTGTTTTTTTTTTTTTTTTTTTGTTTTTTTTTTTTTTTTTTTGTTTTTTTTTTTTTTTTTTTGTTTTTTTTTTTTTTTTTTTGTTTTTTTTTTTTTTTTTTTGTTTTTTTTTTTTTTTTTTTGTTTTTTTTTTTTTTTTTGCTATAGGGTGCGTGCGCTCGCCAGAGAGACAGAAAGCGAGAAATCACCTCCCAGGGGGGATGGCCATGCCTCAATCCCTTCTCCATTCTCTTCTCGGGATCTTGGGCACGCACGCACATGCCCCCAGCGTGAGTTTAAGCCACCAGGTCCGGGACGCGAACCACAGTCGACTACATGGCAGTCCAGCGACATAGCCATTATGCTAACTGCTGGTCCCGATCCTCACTCTTGACCCGTGCCATGGCCAGCATTTGGCTTCTGGGATACGGTTGAAAACCTCCTCGAATCCCTGACCTGTGAGGCCCTTTGGGGACAGCAAGTCCCCTGCCCTTTGCAGGGAACATGAGGGCCAGGAGGCCGCTGCCATGGAGGGAGCACGGCCTGGCTGACCTGGCCTGGCCTCCAGCTCGGCCGTGCATTTGCTGTGTGACCTGCAGAGGGCTTCTCAGACT